GCCACAGCACTCTACCCAGGGGGATGGCTTGAGGCTCCGTCTCAAAAAAAAAAAAAATTTTTTTAAAACATATGTTTGGTTCTGAAGAGAGAAGTAGTTTATTTTGCTTCTCCTTGAAAACCAGGCCAGGTCCTTAGCAAGAACATTGAAAGGTTCTTGGTCATGAGCAGACTCTCGTTATCAGGGAGCTGGAGGCTGCCTTGGTTATTCAGCAATTACTTGTCTTGTAGTTAGGGCCCAGCATTGGGCTAAGTGCTATGGGAGAAATGGAGAAGGGGAAAATCATCTCTGTAAGTTTTATAATCATGAGGGGGAAGAAAGAACTGTCTCTATATAACCTCTGTGTGCCCCCTTGAAACAAACTTCTCCTCCTGCTTACCTGCCCTTAAAAACCAATGTCAGCTTCCCAGGGGGCCTCCTTCCTCCATAGCCGGGTGAGGAGCCCTGCCTGCCTCACGCTCCTGAAGTGTCCCAGACTCGCTGCTCTCCTGACTACATCACCTAGTTTACAACTAGGCTGTTCTAAACAGAGAGATCCTCGAGGACGAGTCCTAATCTGATGTGGTGCACAGTGGCATCACAGATACGGAATGAGTGATGCGGTGACACAGCAGAACTGAGCAGAGGCTGTCTCTGCTGTTTGGGTGGCCCTTCCACCTGTTCAGCCATTCAGGCCCTGTGATGTAGCCTCATCTGAGGCAGGTGGTATTTACCCCTTCACTGCTCTGTGGAGTGACATTATTCATGGGTCCTTATTCTCAGCACCTTGGGTGTACACTATTTGAATGCTTAGACCAGATTTGTAAAGTCTACTTGGGGCCTCAAAGAGTCTCACTTTTCTTGTAGGTTGCATCGTCACCATTGTTTGATCCTCTGTTTCAAAGACAGCAAACGGATGAAGAGCAGAGCACTAGTCTCCTCGTTAGTTCACCCGGGTTCACTTTGACCCCACACAGTGTGATTCCAGAAGAGCAGCGGAAAACCTCAGCAAGGTTCTCTGGCAGCTCCTCCGCAGGCTACGAAAGTGAAGCTTACAGTCAGTGCAGGTACAGACAAGCACAGACACCGAGCAGCAGACATTTGTTTCATTTGTAGTTGTTTATTTCCTAGTGGAGATCTTTTTTTTTTTTTTTTTTTTTTTTAGACAGAGCCTCAAGCTGTCCCCCTGGGCAGAGTGCTGTGGCATTACAGCTCACAGCAACCTCCAACTCCTG